GCCTGTCATCTTGTTTTATATGTCTGATCTTAACGCTGTCCTGTAATCGACATGTTTTGAGTGTCTCTAATACATCAAGATGATTACAGCAGATACATAGATTGCATAAGTGTTAAAATAGAAACAAAAATTAAAGCCTTTTACGTCTTTCATCATAAGTTTGAGGGCATAAACATGGAGATGCAAATGAAATGAAGGAGCAGGCTGGTGGGAGTTGAAATATGTGGATCCAGGCTGGAATCAAAACATGGCACCTCGCCACAATGTTTGTAGTTTGTTTTGAACAAATGTATACATTTACTGTATGTGTAGATGTTTATGCAAGAGAAGCTAAAGGCACAGAGTGTAAGGTGTTAACAAACAAACTTGAAAATATCCTCCTGTGATTTTTAAGCTTGAGGAGATAAATTGGGATTTAACTTAGAACTACGTGTTACAGTTTTTAATTAGGTTGCTGTTTCTCACATGAGCGTTCCATTATTTCTAACTAAATGTGGACTGCATTTTTGATTTTTATTTTTTGACTGTTTTGGTTTGACAAAACACAATTTGCCACAGATTTCTGTCAATGAAGGCAAAATAAAACCGAATAAATGTACATACTGTATGGTAGCTTTAACTGGTGAAAGTAACTGGTCAAATGAATGCATCCATATGTTAATGATTTGGTCATTTGTGTAAAAAATATATAATTAGATATAACTTTGATTAGAACTTCCATACTTATTTCCACCATTTGTATATTTCTTGAATTGAGGTACTTTTTTTCAAGACTACAGTATTACCTTGTTTCCAAAGTCTGTTGGAATTTGTAAATTTTGTTGTGTTGGTTGTGTAGTGCTTATTGATGCTTCAAATGCCTATTGATCCATAGTTTGTGAAAATATCCAGCATTTTACATCATTTATAAACTAAACTAACTTCTTATTGGGTAACAGCTTGACATTTGTATTTTGACAGGTATTTTGACCTGCCGTTAGACCTGACTTTGAAGGAGCATCTAGGCCTCGGCTCTCTCGCTGTGAGTGTGATCAGAGCGTGGTGTTGACAGTGCTGGACCAGATAGCATGTGTACAGTCTGACGTGTGTGCATAACCCCTCATATCCTCCTCATATAGCCACGTATGCCCCAAGTGTGTTTGGGGAATCAACAGTCCAGTTCCTGTTCTTAGTTTAAAAATAGCTTAAGGCCTGAATTCCTTGCTCCCTTCCTTTTGCTTTGTTAACCTCTGTTTTTACCCCACTTATGAGTTTCATTAACTCAGTATGTAATTAGTTTGAAGGCAGCTGCCATAGTCCTATCACAATTATAGTTGTATCATTTTTTTTGTTCAAATACAGATGGATTGAACGATATAATTTGAGGCTCAATTTTCATTGTTAGCGCCGTTTTCTTTGTGATACGATTAAGTCCCTATTAGTTCTATTTATTAGTTAATCTAGCTGTCTATTTGTGTCAGCTTATGGCCTTAAATGATAAAGACAAACAAAAATGGTTCACAGGGATCCTCCAGCTTTTTTGTAATTGCAAGTGACTCAAAGTTGTTTCAATAATATATAATTTAACGTCAATCAAAAAAGTGTTTTTGTGACCTAGACCTAAAAGCCACCTCTGTACAGACCGCATGGGTCAGAAGCCAGTGTCTATGTAGGCCTAATATAACACGTCTTACATAACAAATACTGTGGAAGCAAGTGACTGATGAAAAATGAATTAATATGAACTTAAATCTATAGTGTGGAGCTGCATGCAACCACTGGAATCTTAAAAAAAAAAAAAGAAAAAGACAAAATCAGCATCATAAACAAGGGAAATAATTGCAGGAATACAGTTACAGGTCTACTCCGTCTCTGTAGAAGAAGAAGAAGAAGAAGGCTCCGCTGTTGGGACAGGTGTGGCCGGCACGATGTTTACCAAACAGACTGTCTGCACCTGCCTCTGCTGCTCCCTCCTCTCTTTACAACTCACTCTGTTATTCCATTAGTGCTAATATTTCTTCTTACCTCACTCCACTCCCTGCATTTAGAGCCTTTGAAGTTCAGCTGCTTTTGCTCAGCTTTTCCTGCCGTACAACCGTTGGTCTTGACATTTTAATAACAGGGAGGGTTGCAGACATTTGTCACATGAACCATTACAAGATGTTGCTCGATGTCAGTACAGAATGTGTAGGTCACAGGCAGGGCTCAGGGCAGCTTCTTATTGCCACTCATTATGGACTTAATAGGCCCAGTGGCAGGTAGGCACAATACTGATCAGGAGACTTGCACAAGGACTCCGACTTTTAAAGCAAGGGTTTTTATTTTTCATTATTGTATTTATTTGAACAGTATTCATTCTGCTTAAAAAGAGTGGGCTGAAGCAAGAACCTTATGACCACCCCCACCCCCAAACTCAATTACAATCTTTTCATAATAAAAACAGTATAGAACAAGAACACAAAAGAACTCAAAACAAGCTACATATGCACATCCTTGATTATAGATTCATCAATTTAACAACAATTTAAACAGAATAAAGATCTAATCATACAATTAGCGATGTCTTATTGAGATTAGCCTTTGCATAAATAATACATTTATTTAAGAGGCTAAATGAATTGATATATTGATGTATTGTATTGATTAGATGTTTTGTTTTGTCTTCATCTAATCAAAAACATGTTATATTTTGCATACTTTAATAGTAATTTTACACTTTGGGTGAGAGCTGATTGGTTGAGTGAGAGTGGTTCTCACGTTTTTACTGTTTCACTGTGTACCCCAGCTTTATTGTTGAAGGATTCTGCCATTGTATGACTTCGTGTGGACGCATTACAGAGACTATTGCACTGTTCACACTTCAAGTTCAAGTTCACTCATGAAGAAAATGCACCTGTTATGACATCATGATCTGGTTCAATTCAAATTACGTTTTTTTTAATGAACACAAAACATTGGAATAAGAATTAATGTAGGTGCTTTTACGTCTTTCGTTTTAAAGTGTTTTTTTGTTCACTCATCTGTGGTCAAAACGTAATATCACTGCATATTATAGGTGTGTGCATCTGTTTGTGTTTGTGTTATGTTTGAACCCTGCATATTTATTGTGTGATTTTCCATATTAGTCTTTAGTTTGATCTTTGTGCCCACAGTGTTCCTGTTGGCGGTGACCTTAATTCCCAGTTCCCGCCTTTAAAGTCTGTTTCCTGTAATAACTTGTGTTTTAAACTGTACATATTATTCTTGCCATTTCTGACATTTAGTAGCAGAGCGCATCATAACTCACAGTTTACCTCAGAAATCTGATTAAACTTGTGTAGGAGAGATCCAACAAAAATATGAGATTTGGCCAGAAGACCAAACGCTCCAAGGGTTAAAGTCATCAGCCTAGCTCCACTGGTTTCCTGTGTGCAACTTTGTGGAGATGACAAGAAGATTATCCTCACCTCTGCAATGAAAACCACAAACCAAATGCAGCTGACTGGTCCCACTTGTGTCTGTGCGTGTCCCAGTCTATAGGGGAGCTGGGAGTGATGGGGGACAGACAGGACACGAAGCGAGAAAAATATGTGTTGAATAAAATTAGATTAATTCAGACATCACTCAATCAATAACACCACTCCACTTGCACTAATGGCAAATATATTAATACTATTCTATGTGGAATGGAATGCAAATATTATAGTCCTTGTAGTTTTACCTGTTATATGAGCAGTGTTGTAATTATATGTAAACAATCCATCATGTACTTCCTACTGAGAGGAATCCGAGGCAGCAAATTACTAGACGGCTTAGTCCATATATAAACATTTACCTTCATCATATCATGTTCCAAACCCTATAGTTATATAGCCACATGGGTCTTGCCAGTATGAAAATTAACAAACAAGCCTAGCAATATTAAAAGAATGTACATATTGTTCAATAACGTATAATGAGGATTTGAAAATGATTATGTAGGCTATGACACTATACAGATACATAAATAAATAACCCCAAAACCAGGTCCAGCTATGGAATGTAGTAACTCCGTATTTTTATGAATGAGTGCATTCATGCATGGCCACGCCTCAGCGTTTTAAATCCCGCCTTTTCTCCTTTTTTGACCACCCTTACTGTGTGCCTGTCTTCTCATTGGCCAGAGAAATGTTAGAGTGGGAGAGGCTCGAAGCTCATATAAAAGATCACTTCAACCTTTTACACATGAAACTTTACAAGTGATGGAGTACACTTGACCTACGGTGGATGGTTCTTTGGGGACATTGTTTGAAAGGATTTATTGTGTTCTTCATGTGAATTTGCTGACAACATGGGAATACTGTTATTGTTTGCGGTGTTGCAAGTGTCAACAGTGGGTTGGGTAAGTCTAGATCATGATTTATGTCGGTTGTGTTATGTAGATACATAGCAATAACAAGTAATACATGTTTGAACTTGGGTGAATTAACCATATCTTTCTCATGGCTTTTTACAACACAAGAGTGGTATGTTACTTCTTTTTTATTATATAAAAGTAATCATGTTTAAATAGATCATGTTTTAGGAATGAGGGATTACCAGCAACAACAGCAACAGACAAACAATTCTGCGCCTTAAACCATACCATGCATGTGTTAGTTTATACTGAATTATATTAGTAGTAATGCTAAAAGCACATCTGTTAAACATGCAAAGTAGAGTACAAAAAGACCTCTGTAGGTTTGAAATAGACAGCAGTATTCCTATCCAAGGCAGATAAAAATACTCTGAAAGTAAATACTTGACCACAGTCCACAAATAGGAATCCTGTACCTGTTGAAATGGAGTTTGTTTCTCCACTCAGCAACGCATGCTGCATTCTAGCCACTGGCTCCCTAGATCCATTTCTAATATACATTTCTATGATGTAGATTCTTTGTAAAGAGGTTGTGAGAGGGACTTGTTTAGGATAGATTTAATCACACTTTAAGAAAGAGCTTTGATTTCTTTGGTGTAAACAGTGACTCTGGCTCTGTCCCATCATCCCTACTTACAGCTGGCAAATGTGGGAACAAAAGGTATGGGAGTGGAGAGGGCGGGTCAGTGACGCCCCTTTCATCCTGGCTGCTGCGGCGAATGCCAAGCGGAAGGCAAGTGAGGGTTATGGATATCCCTGTGGACTTTTGGGACAGTGCAGTGCATTCAGAGAGCATTTAAGCCACACACACTTTCTGTGATCAGTGAAACATGAGTCACATGATTGTCCTGTCCTTTTTGATGATAGTTTATACCTTCACAATACTATGATAAACTGTCTATGTGTGTTCTTCAGGTGATGGCTGGCTGTCCAGTGGTGTGTGAGTGTCCGTCGGGGGCCCCATCCTGCCCCCCTGGAGTCAGCGCAGTCGCAGACAGCTGTGGCTGCTGTAAAGTGTGTGCCGCACAGCTCAACCAGGACTGTCATGAGGGACAGCCCTGCGACCACCACAAGGGCCTGGAGTGTAACTACGGCAACGACGTGGGCCGCACGCATGGCATCTGCAGGGGTACGGTTTTGGCACATTCAAGTATAGCAATAAGCACAAATGTACGTTTTAATAGCCATAAAATAGACAGAAATGTGTTTTAGCCTCTCAAGTGCCGCACAAAGTTGCTTGGCTCTGATTTGGTTGTTTTTGGTGCTGATCCTGGGGTTGATTGAGGGGATGTATAACTTCAGGGTGTGGAGACAGCAGTCTCTCTCTTTGATAGGGTCTTAATGTCTGAAGTCTGTGCCACATTTCCAACATGAAAAGAGAGCACCTTCATGAGCTGTGACTGAAAGTCTGCCAGCTCAGGGATTGAATGTGTATACAAACAGCCTCAGAGCACAAATAAACATCAGCAGGTTTATCTGGGGGTTCCTTTATGAAGGAAAAAAAAAAAAAAGGGGGGGGGGGGGCTGTGTCCGGGGTGTTGCATGGGGAGTCCCCCTGAGGCACCATGGGGAAAGACATATTTAGCAAGTTGAATGTTCTCCTTATCTAAGAATAGGCTCTTGGCTGGGCTCACTAACTCTGTATGTGCATTTGTGGTTGTAAAGATCTGAAATCAAAGTGCTACTGTGTCAACAATAACACAGGGTGTAATTTGGGAAACACAGTAATGTCACCAAGTTATCCTGTATGGGTTTGGTATCTATATGTAATAAAACCTTTTTTTTTTTTTAAAAAGGACTTGTAGAGTGCAGACCTCCGCCAAGAGGCAGAGGGCTGTTTCTTTGAAAGACAATGATCTAGATGGACGGTGATTCGGATTTTTTGCTAACAAACTAAAAACACTGATGAAACATAACCCTCTGGCGGAGGAAAAAAAACATACAATGACTTAAAGCTCGGGTACCAAACTGGGGTACCAAGAAGAGTAAAGATAAAAAGTTTTCGTCATGTTTTCTTTTGCCCTGTGAGTCACTATAATACAGTCTATGGTCACGATGTGACACTTGGGCTCAGAGCTGATCGGAGTCTTGGTGGTCCTCTTTTTCTTTTCTGTTTAAAACGCTGATCTAAGATAACATGTATTTTACATATATCCAAAAATACATTCATGTTCAGACTAGTGATATAACCTCATTGTTTTTAACAAGGTTCAAGTTAAATTGATTTTACTACATAGTTAATTTGTTTTGTTGTCTGAAGGTACCCCAGCTAGACAAGACAATCATTGAAGCATACAGATTTTTGCCCATTTTAATATGAAAAAATATATAGTTTGTGTTGGTGTTTTGATAAATAAATGCATTCCTTAACTCAAAAATATAATTATTGTCAATAATATTATTAATGGAATTATGTTTTTCTTATTCACTCTTGATTTGAATACCTGATTAGGGAGCTTAGCACTCCTGGTACCTACTTGTTTTCTTGTATTATATGTATTTGTTTATCTGTATTAGATGTGTCTAGATTAGAATCTATAGATTCCATGGCCTTTTTATGTAACTGGGAGGAATTCAACAAAGTCCAATTGATCCTCATCACTGACCTGAGGCTTGCTTGTATTTAGCGAGTTATTCAAAAATATTCAGAATGGATAAAAGGCTAATTCCACCAACCCAACCTGACCATGATGTCTTTTTGTTCTCAGCAAAGGCAGAAGGGCGTTCCTGTGAATACAACGGAAGAATGTATCAGAATGGAGAGAACTTCCGTGCAGGATGCAAACACCAGTGCACCTGTATAGACGGAGCAGTGGGCTGTGTGCCTCTGTGTCCCAGCCATGTGCCACTGGCCTCGCCTGCCTGCCCTGCCCCTCAGCTGGTCAAGGTCCCTGGGCAATGCTGCCTGAGCATCGACTGCCACAAGGGAACTACAGTGGTTCCTCCAGTTCACAGGAAACCCCAGCCACCTGCCTTCCACCCATACCTCTTTATGCCATATCCATCATATCCATATTCCAAGCCCTATCTCAAATCCTACAAGCTTTTCAAAGCTAAGAAAGACAAGGAAACCTTTGGGAACGAGCTGCTGGAGGTTGGCCGCAAGTGGGAGAAGTCACGTGGTCACAATCACCTGGCAGGTAAAGCCCCTGAACCTGCTTTTTACTCTATGTGAATTAAAAGTATGTCGTTTTCCAAAGCATTTTGAGGGAAAATCTCATGAAACTATATGGAGTTATCTAGGTGTGTCCTGGACACAACGTGCTGTGGTTATTTCTGTCACATTATTTGCTACATAAATTATTCTTAAAGTTATGAAACAACTTGGAGGCTATTTGCTCAAGACTTTATTGAGAATACATCAAGAGCTACTACTATGATGTAAAATGAATATTTCTTGGATGAGTCTGGTCAAGACATTTTACAGAACCTGCTTCAGACTTTTACATGAGGGAAAAATCTAATCCTACCTCTATATGCTTATAAAGGCTTAACAGGCTCCTCTACACTCCCAGAACAAGATGCATTTAGGTTTCTATGAGCTAATTTGGCTACAATTACTTCATAGAGGCTGGAGCACTGGCGTGTGTTCCCTGAGTGTCGTCTGTTTCCTGCGCGCTCTAAAGCATCATGTTTATGTTTCAGACGCACAAACAGCTCTTGTGTACATGTCAGCGTTTATGTGAGGCTTGGTTTCCACTGGCTCCTTGCACACCAAGGAGCTCAGTCTGGCTCAGCACACAACTCTGTTTAATGGGGCTATGTGCGTCAGTGCAGCTCGTGGAAGTCAATGAGAGTAGTGTGCAAGCCTGTCCTTACTGCCTGCTCCCACCGGCTCCTCGGCCCGTTTGACTTGATGAGATTGCTTCTTCTGCAAAACATGCGTCATCACTTTGTGTTCTGTATGATCCAGCATGGAGGCAGGCAGGAGACCAGTGTGTGGTGCAGACTACTTCCTGGACACAGTGCTCCAGAAGCTGTGGGATGGGTGTGTCTTCTCGGGTCACCAATGACAACGCACGGTGCAAACTGATCAAAGAGACTCGGCTGTGCAACATCCGACCATGCAGCTCATTGTCCATGCCCGTCAAGGTGAGGCTCGTTACCTGATATTCAGTGAAAGTCTCCTACATTCTCACTCTTGTCTCAGCTCACAGAATGTCTCAGCTACATTCTGATGTCTGTGTGCTGCATGAGTCTGCCCCATTGCAGTGTGGGTAGTATCCCTTGCTAATATTGCCTTCCTGTCTGTTTCCACAGAAAGGACGCAAATGCTCTCGCACTCACAAAGCACCTGAGCCTCAGCGTTTGTCCTATGCTGGCTGCAGGAGCACTCGTCTCTACAGACCAAACTACTGTGGCGTGTGTCGGGACGGCCGCTGCTGCTCCCCTCGCCGCACACGCACCGCCTCTGTGGCCTTCTCCTGTCCTGATGGAGAGCGCTTCCACCGCTCTGTCATGTTCATCCAGTCCTGTAAATGCAGCGACCAGTGCAACCATCTGAATGAGGCGGCATTGCCCCCCCAGAGGTGGCTCTACGGGGACACGCACAAGTTCATCGACTAGTCCCACAAGACAGACACTCCCCTTAGAGGTCCAGTAGAAAGTAGCTCTCCCTAGTGTATTCAAAAGTAAATGTGAGAATGGCTCACGCTACAGAGACCTTTTGTAGAACTTTATTATTGGGGAAGAATGCAGAGAGCCTTGAATAGGTTCATCTGATTGGGACAAAAGGTAGCAGCCCGAGCTGTATCGCCAAAGACACAAGAGTGCACTGCCACACACTGAACTGTGACACCGAACTCTAAAGAGGAAGAAGAAACACCCGCACTAATGTGTTGGTCTGTGGTGCCTTGATGTCAGGAAGCACAGAAGCTGCTCACATGCTGCTTTCAGATCAGAGATGGACCCACCAGAGCCCTCTAGAGATGCACCATGGAGCAAAGCAGAGAAGAGTTTGAGGCAGAGGCTTTTCATGGTATTTAATTATTCACTGCTATTTATTGATGTGACTGTAGATGGTCATCATACAGGATGGAGCATCAACGACTAAGTTCTGTGACAGACTGATCTTGGTCACATGGTCAAGAATCCGGGATTGTATTCATGTATGATGTGACAGGACAAACTGAGCAGGAGCCAATAGGATGGTCCTCTGTACGCTTCAGTAAAGTCAGAGGGGGTTTACACAGCTGCACGTTGCCTAAAAACACGACAAACTGAGATATTCAGCAGCAGAAGATGAACAAGTCTGGTATTTTTCTGTCAACATGTACATGGGATAAAGCAATTACACTCCTGTTGAGAGAAAGACTGCTGCTGGGGTTATACTTTTTTTTTCACAAAACCAGATTTGTGAAGCAATATGGTAAACATTATAGATGCAGTACTCATTTGCCTGTAATCTTCTCATACCCCATAAAGCTCTCAGTTCTTATGTTTGTATGTGATCTGTATTGTATATAAGCCGTGTCGGCCATCCAAGTTCCACTGCTTTGACTTTTTTTTAAAAACAATGCAACTGGCATCTAAAATAAACCTTAATGCACCTTATAACTGCAGGGTTCACAATGTTTTGCTTGAGATAGATCATTATTCACGATACATGGTGGAGGTAAACTAACAGCATCAGTCCCATACAAGGCAATGTGGATGAAATGCTTCACTTAACCCTTGTTCTATCCTCAGGTCCAACCACCAGGGATTAAAAAATACCCTACATTTTCCTTTAGTTGAATTGAGTTTTCCCAATTTGAGCAGCCCTGGATCTTTTAGATCCTAATCGAGGCTATTTTTCTTCTGTCATTTTAACCTGAAGCAGAAAAGGTACCTGGTTTCACTCTCATACTACACAGTCACCTAAAATGGTACCTTTGAGGACTACACAGGCTAGCCTACCCATAGCAATCTGTTAACGCTTGTCAATTATAATTGCCCCACATGTATGAAATGAGTACAATGGTAAGACCAGGCTACACACAGGCAAACAATGTAAATTATAAAGTTTAATGCATTAGAAACCTTTGAATAAAATTAAGGTAAAAGCTCAAACTTTTACCCAAAAATTTAAGATATTACAAGACAGGATTCCATGAGAATTAAGAATAGGTTTTAATAGTACAGTGAGTTTTTGATCAATGTATCAAAACTTGACATGTCAGAATAACAGCTTTGAATGTAGTGGAAACATTCAGTAAACAAAAGAGCTGCCATAAGCCATAATTAAAAGCACATTACCATTACACTTTTTCAGTGATGGGGACAAATTTCATAATTAAAAATAAAAAAGGTCTAGATTTACTTTGACAAGTTTTTCCCCGACGTTCTGCAAGCTACAAAGGCCACAAACTAAAAGACCACAATAGTAACATGGCATTTTATAAAAAGGTTTAATTTTACGGAACAAAATAAAAACAGTAAGAGACAAATTAAAAGCGAACACACTTTGTCGCCATAGCTTGACATTAAAACGTTTGGGCAAAAGATCAGGCAGAGCATAAAACTGAAGTACAGCTACTTCAAATACACAAAACACCAATGGGGAGTCAGGACTGGTTGCTCATCTGGACTGCTCAACTAGGAACAAACAAAAACACAAAGTTAGACATGAAACGACATGTGCAACAGCTGCGCATACAACTTTGCACCACAAGGTTAATTATGTGTGGGCACTTTGATTTAAGGCGTAGACAGACTGTTGTCAGCCTTTGCCAAGAACACCATTAAAGCTAGTATGTGAAGGGCATTCATAAGCAGAGCAAATGCTCAGGCTTCACTAAACACTGTCATTAGCAATAAGGCCAACTTGTTTGTAGTGCAAAGTGGTGTGCGCCCTCTGATCCGTGCGGCACTCACTGTAGGAGGAGATGTCGATCTCATCGGGCAGCTCGGCCACGTTCACCTCAAAGCGGTCCTGGACGTCGTTCAGGATCTTTGCGTCGGTTTCATCAGACACAAAGGTTATAGCCAGGCCTTTGGTCCCAAACCTACCAGCACGGGCCACCTGCAAAAAGAAAAATGCACAAGCATTACACTGGATGTGCTACACGTTTTAAACATCCAAATGTTACATTCCTTCATTGAAACACTGTACGGCCAAGCAGGGCCATAAAGATTTCAAAAGGACTTTATAGGGTATAAAAAATACTTGTGAATATCAATCACCAAAACAAAAGTATTCATTTCAATAAAGTATATTCTTTTTTTTAATACTGTAGTATATTTTTAGTCTAACCAGTCGGTTAGACTATTGCAATGGCCTGCTCACAGGTCTGTCCAAACAGGCTGTAAAACAGCTGCAGTACATTCAAAATGCAGCAGCTCGAGTCCTGACTAGAACCAGGAAGTACGACCACATTAGTCCAGTTCTCAGGTCTCTGCACTGGCTTCCTGTTCCTCAGAGAATAGACTTCAAAGCAGCTTTACTTGTGTACAAGTCTCTCCATGGTCTCGCGCCAAGGTACATCCATGACATGTTTGTGCCATATGAACCGACTCGGACTCTGAGGAGCACAGGGACTGGACTCCTGTTAGTGCCCAGAGTCGGTACTAGACATGGGCAAACTGCATTTCAGATTCATGCGGCTAGAGTCTGGAACCGTCTTCCTGAGAATGTGAGACAGGCGTCTACTCTGGCATCTTTTAAATCTAGGCTCAAAACAATTCTGAACTGAATGATTTTATCTTTTCATCTTTGTTTTTATCTTTAATCTTTTTAATGCACTGTGACTATTTATGATTTTAGTCCCATCTGTGATTTTAATGTTTAAAGGTTTTTAATTTTTGTGATTTTATTTTTAATGTTTTTAATATATCTTGTGCTCTTAATGTGTTTGATTTATGCATGATGTGATAGGGGATGTGAAGCGCTTTGCGTTGCCTTGTGTAGGAAAGGCGCTCTACAAATAAACGTTGATTGATTGATTGATTTTTAACTTCACAGCTGCTTAAAACTTTTAAATAAACATTAACCTTAAAATGAGCCATAGATCTGTCAGATTACTAAAACACTGATGTAGTCCCCAATTAAACTCTTTAGGACAGGGGTGTCAAACCGGTTCCAGAAAGAGCCGGTGTGGCTGCAGGTTTTAGTTCCAACTTGAGCAGGAGCACACCAGACTCCACCCATTTCCTCAAATCTTAAGGTGAAAAATGGTCTCACCTGAGGAAATGGGTGGAGTCTGGTGTTCTCCTGGTAAGGTTGGAACTAAAACCTGCAGCCACACCGGCCCTTTGAGGACCGGTTTGACACCCCTGCTTCAGGACTTCTAAAGACATTTCAATTGTGGCCATAAATTGGCTGGCTCAATATAATAACCACTCCTGAAACTTCATTTTAAACAATCTTGAGGTTTTTGGCCTGAATGCCTTTTTACAGCTCATGCTTCATGCTCACCCTGTGCAGATAGGTGTCTGAGTCTTCTGGCATGTCGTAGTTGAACACAATATTGACCCGCTCAATATCCATTCCTCTGCCAAACAGGTTTGTGGCCACCAGGATCCTCCTTTGGAAGTCCTTAAACTGCTGGTAGCGGGACAGTCTGTACAACAACATGGAGTATTAAAAACTTTGGTTGAAAATTACTTTGCACAGCAGATTAGAGATGCCTTCACCTTTCCTCCTGACCCATGCCTCGGTGAATGGCAATCGCAGGAAAGTTCTGTTCCACCAGCAGCTGTGACAGAGCAATGCAGCGCTGCACTGACTTGACAAAGATCACCACCTACAGGACAAACAGATCAAACTTTCAAATGGTCCAAACATTTCATGGAGAAATCTAGTGGTAAAAAAAAAAAAATATTACACCCTGATTTATTACATAAAACGATTGTTACCTGGTTGAACTCGAGGACATCAAGGAGGTCAAAGAGTTTGCGGTTCTTCTCACTATCCTTTAGTTTGCAGTAGTACTGTTGCAAACCATGAAGGGTCAGCTTTGTCTCATCATCCACAAACACTTCCATGGGCTAGAAAGGTTCAAATAAAAGTTACAAAAGAACCGTTCACCAATGAGTTCACTTGTCCATTAGTACTGGAATTGCCATCTCATTCACATTTTCAGTGTAACAAATACTGCTGGTTACTTACATCCTGCATGAACTTGCGACAGACGGGCCTGATCTCTTTACTGAGCGTGGCACTGAACATCATGACCTGCTTCTCGTGTGGAGTCAGCCTAAAAATGTCCTGGACATCTCTTCTCATGTCTGAGGTAAACACCAATATGATTATCACACACTCTCCATCTTTTCAAAGCATCAGAATGAAATCCTGTCCTCTCACCAAGCTGCTCCAACATTTTGTCGCATTCGTCCAGAACAAAGTGCTTGACGTTCTTCAGAATGAGGGCCTTGCTGCGGATCAGGGCCAGGATCCTGCCTGGTGTACCAACCACGATATGGGGGCAGTTCTTTTTAAGGACTTCCTCATCCTTATTGATGGACAGGCCTCCAAAGAACACGGCTGCCTTAACGGTGGGCATGTATTTAGAGAAACGCTCGTACTCTTTGCTGATTTGGAAGGCCAACTCTCGTGTATGGCACATGACCAAGACAGAGACCTGTGTGAAAAAACATGGATGAGCCAAATTAGTCTATGAAACACCACTGGCATTAAACATATAATCTTTATCAGATAAAGTTGCTGCCTACAATGTCACCAAATACTGAATAAGTAATGAATAAATATTGCAGTCAATTTGAATAAATGTACCAGACTTTATTTTAAAAAGCCATTTTAGAATAGCTTTAGGATCACACTAAAAGTATAATCCTTTAGTGAGCTTGGTGCAGATTTACCACTTTATATGAAACGTCTACAAACTTATGAACAATTGAAAAATAAATACTGCAATGTTGCACATTTCCTAAACAATTGCAATTCCATCCAAATTCTTAACATTCCCCAAAATACAGAAGAATCCACTGACCTGGCCATCAACTGGTTCGATCTGCTGAAGTGTAGCCAAGACAAACACAGCGGTCTTTCCCATACCAGACTTGGCCTGGCAAAGGATATCCATACCGAGAATGGCTTGAGGGATGCACTCATGCTGAACTGTAATACAATGTTGAATAAATACAAACACCAAGAATTATTACTAAGCACAACAGCAGAAACAACCTACCCTCTGATGGATGCTCAAAACCACAGTCGATGATGGCTCTGAGAAGTTCTGGTTTGAGCAGGAAATCTCTGAAACCGGAGCTGTGGATGGACACGTACGAGCCCTTGACCTCCTTCTTGCCGGCAGGAGTGGCACTCTCGGGGGCTCCCTGAGGTTCATCGTCTTCCTCGTAATCCAACAGCTCATTTTCGACGTCGTTTTCGGCCATTGTGTTTGTCTGGATCATGAGACAAGAGGTTGTAAATAATCTGGACTGCAGTAACTTTCACGATCTTTTGCAGAAATGAGAAAATCGTTCAAAACATTAAAAGTTGCTATTCCTCGTGTACAGTTTAAAGATCAGCATATTCTCATCAAAAAGAATCGTGCTCACACATTGGCCTGAATAATAAAAACAACCCTCCCTACGCACTTTTCACGACCACTGATTGCGCACCATTTGCATGCAGGGCATTAAAAGCCAACAACGTCCAAATCATTTATTCTGGCCGGTGTAAAAACTAAAATCTTACGTAGACTATACAAAAACTAGCAAAATCATCTTAAAGGAACACATACGCACAGAGCCTGCATGCGCAGTCCGGTCTGCAGTTTGCCAGACCGAAGCTACATCGGGCTATTGTTGCATAACCCCTGCTAACGTGATAGCCAAGCTGTACTATGCGCAAAACTCTCAGTACGTAGATTCACCACCCGATCAAAATCTACAACGTTTGAAAAAGATGTAACAAAAACAAACAAGCTCACATTAATGTATTCAAACATATGCTAGATAGCTCACGAAAATACAACAAAAGACCGGTGTGGTGAGGCGGCGAGCTAATGCTAAGCGCCATTTCTACATACGGTCAAACGATAGCTGACTTCACGCTTCTCAAACTGAAACTTTAACCATAAGATAACAAAATGATACCACATGAATCACATTGATAAACAGTTAGAATTCTTGTAAATGCATCCTTACCTTTTCGGAGTGAGCTAGGACAAGAGCAACAGATCAAAACCGCATGGACAGGCCTGAGCTGGTTTATACGAGAAAGCGGAAGTCCCACCTCCCCCTGAGTGCTCCGTTCTGATTGGTCAGCTCATACGTCTGACACCCAGCGGCTGGAATGATTGGTACAAGGATGGAGTCCACGACGCAGAAGCGGGGACCGGTTCGACTACACCTACAGAAGCCCGTGAGGTACATTGTTTTTGAATTATAATCATACGGTGTTAAAGTTTAATCTAAACACATGAGCTGTGATGAGCTAAGTGTGTGTGCTGGCAAATTAATGTGAAAAACACACACTGCTCGCAGTGATGATACAGATATCGTTATGGTGACGCGTCGTATATACATACATTTAAGTTTATTAATGTTTATCTTGGGAATATATCGAGTATATCTATTATAGTATAGTTCTATGGTCACAAGTGGTATATTAACTGGTTTTCTCTTCAAAATTACACATTCTGTAGCTATAACTAGAGACTTGTGGCAACACTTTTTGCCGCCAGATGTCGCTACAACATTTAACCAGTGGTGGTAACTGATATCTAGTACAACTCTGGCTAATATGTTGTGAAATGCACTGTCTGTGAAATAATTGGATGTATACATATTTAGTTCTTTGATATACTTTTAAAGTAGACATTAACCATTGTTTATTAATTATAGGCTTGGTTTTGTACATTATCATAAAGATTATACACAATTCGACCAATGTACAGAATATAAACAACTTAAAATACTTGAAAGGGTGTTGTGATGTAAAAGAAGTACTAATATTTTATGATTAAATCTGTGTTTCCAGAGCAGAGTGAAAGAACCACTGCGATGGAGAAAAATATGGAAACATGTCCGACTCCGTATGCAAACTGTTCTGGGACTGACTGAGCAGCTCCTGGACAAGAGGAGGTAAAGAGAAAAAAAGCCAGTCCTCAACCAGCAGCCCCCCTCCGTAGAGGCCGGAGCAGTGGACCACCTCACAGGGCAAGTCCTTCAGACAATTACTGCGTAGGTCCAACCTACATATCTCAGTCAAAGAGCCCACCCCTCTAGGTAAGGCATGCAGGTAGTTGTGAGATGCATTCAGAACTCGCAACTTTAGACAACTGAACAGTTCACTGGGTAAACTTTCTAGCCTGTTCCCACTTACATCCAACTCCATGAGCAACTGTAGCCCCCTCACATCACATGGTAGCTGCTCCAGAAGGTTACCTGACATGAGAAGCGTTTTTAGTCTACAGAGAGAGAAAAGAGCAATGGGGACACTGTGGAGCTGATTGTTGGATAGGTCCAATAACTCCAGTCTCTGTAGTGCACTGATGGAAGGTGGTAGGGCTGCAATATGGTTGTATGCAAGTCTGAGGTTTAAAAGATGCTGTAGTTGTAACAGTCCACCATGTTCATCCAGAGTTCTTAACCTGTTGTGTTGTAGATCAAGAGAGCACAGGTTTATGAGTGTTGTGAGAGCAGACGGTAGACGTTCCAGCTGACAATCCTGAAGAATCAGCTCTGTGAGACCAACAAAGCTCTTCAGTCCACTTAGTGCCAACAGCCTGGTGCCTTCATTGTGGATCTCCAACCTCTCCAATGTGCCTGCCACCTCACACAGTTCTCCAGGAACACGTTGTAACATTCCCCGAATCACCAGTGTGCGGAGGTGTCGTAGATGACGTAGACTTCCCAAGGACCAACCGCGGACCACTACTCCTTCGCTGTGCAAAGGACCAGTCAGGTGGAGCTGCTGCAAACCCCTTAGGGAGAGAACCCACCCGGGCAGCTGTGCGGGCTGGGAGAAGGTGAGATGGAGAATCTCTAGACGATCTTGAAGAATGCTAAGGGCGACAGGGGCTATTGCAGCAGTGCAGTGGTAAAGGTGCAGCTCTCTGTGGAGAATGGAGAATGTGGATTGTAGCTATAATTCTGTAGTTAGGTCAATTGTTAGAGTACATTGGATTTAAAGTAGAGTGTTCATCCTCGCTGCTCATTGTCACTAAATTATGTTTCCCATTTAATACAAACTTCATAGTATTTTTACTCACCTGAGAGAGGACATGTTTGACATCTCTGCAGTAAACCGGGCATCTGTAATCAGCTCTAGTCTGAGCACATTGAGATGGTTGAGAGTGTACACAGCCGAGGGAATCCAAGGCAGGGCCACTAGTGTGAGTCTGGATCTGCCATCTGTGTCGACTGTGACGAGGGCCCTCAGTTGTTCCTCCCCCCAGCGGTGCTCCAGGCTTTCCTCTTTCCCCGGGAGGCTCTCAGTCTGAGGGGACAGGAACACAGAGAACCGCTGCACCAGCAGAGGGTCATACTGATCCAGCATTTGCATGAGGAAGGCCAGGTCATTTTTGATGTCTGGGACTTCTCTCAAAGAGCTCATGTCCTTTACTGAGTGAAAGGAAAACTGTAGCAGAGAGCTGAGAACACACAATATTTAACCTATCACAGTCAAGGACCATAAATAAAACCAATGCAGTTTAAAGGCAACTTTACCTATGTAGGATCCAACCCAGTGTGTAAAGATTGAGGAGGCCGTAGACTCCAAGGAGACTCATGTAGGCCAGTAGCAGTTTATGCAGCAGAGAGGAAAGAACATGAATGCACTGAAAGGAGGAGTAACCCACCAGTGCCTGCTCGTCAGCCTCACAGTGGAGACCGAAGGAAAAGGAGCTCAGCAAAGGAATTGTGTAACTTCCAATGAGCACAACTAGCAACAGCTTGAATACAGTCTGAGCCAGGTACACCTAAAGCACATAGAGCAAGTTAAAATAAGATCATCATCCTCATTATATATATGGCAATGTAACATATTTGATATTGAGAAATTCCTTAAATCTCACCTTGTATATGACTGTAGAGTTTTCACTGTGCGATCGAAATTTGCGGACTTTCTCGAACAATGCTCTGGCCTGTTCTCCATCATTTTTGTCAAGGGTGATCTCAAGTTGGGAACCATTTTCCACGATTGTTGAGTTGGTGGGATGTGTTTGGGGGTTCAATAAGTTGGAGGGGTTTGAGTGAGAGGAGAGATATGGCGATGGAGGGGCACTGGTAGAAATACTCTCTGCTCTTTTTAACAGCGGACTATCACTTCCCGAGTCCATGCTGGCACGCCTGATGAAGTTCAGGTTTGGCAGATGTATCGAGGGATCTCTGTTCGTGGACTCTTTGGTCTCATGGGGGGTCTCTTGCTGCGCAGCGTGGGACAGGGCCTGAGACGTCCAAGGGGACTCACAGCACTTGCTTAAAATGGTGAGAAAGTGCTCGATTCGGGCCGAGGTGTGGGGGAAGTGCAGCCAGAAGGAGCCACAGGCCACTAAGACCAAGGACTGCATCAACAACATGTAGGGGAAGAAGCGAGAGCAAAACGGCAATGCGTCATTGTAGCACACCTAGAAACAAAACACGAGACACCAAATGAAGAAAAAAACAAATCAATTATACACCTCTAAAATCTGAACTTGAGTATGCTATCTTCCTTTGCAGATGACAACAGAAAATGGTCTGGCTTATACCATCTGTGGTAGTGTCATGGATTGTATTACTGTATGTACTTTTTATTCTACTGCATGATACTGTTATAGTATGCACTTTTTAAAATTACTTGTGTTATTTGTGTGTTATATTGATTCGTATATGTAATAATGTGTGATGCAGGTTCGAAATAAATAATCTAAAAAGATGCTAAACAGGAGAGACAGACCACAATGTTTGCGTGAAGAACATGGGCCAGATTGTGAATAGTAATAGATCAGTCATCTCAGCCTTATGTATTGTGTTATTTATCACTGCACCTGACTGATGTACACATATTGCTGATAGACCAGATGAGTCCGTCGACCATGTGGCTGGGAGTTGATGGTTGGAGTCGAGGGGGCCCTTTGCTGAGACGTCATCTGCTCCATGTTGTCACTCTGGCTAATGGGCATACTGGCGAGCGGATCCAGAGGAATGCACAAGAGCTTGTCCCGGGAAAGCTGTTCGGTGCAGGCCAGGACAGAGCTGAGCAGCATCAGGACCCCCAGGTAATCCATGAAGACCTCCCACCAGGGCTTCAGCAACTTGCACTGGTCCTGGTGCTGGTTCAGAGGAGCCAGTTCAGACAGAGAGAACATGGTCTAGTCTTACTGGAGATAGGAGAAGAAAATGTTTGTTAAAGAATCAGGCTGCTTCAGAACATTTTACGGATCATTTAGCAACACTTACCTATGTCTTTCTTAGAGGCAGAGGGTCTTCCATGTCCAGGGGTGGCAGGATGTAACAAACATGATTCCAGCACAGTCCGGTTTTGTGTTAGAAAACTCAACAAACCCACAGCAGCCTTCAGCTCTGGGGTGCCACAAAGCTCTGAGGGGTTGCCATGGCGGCCAACTATGTGAGAGGGAAAATCCTAATTCACCCTTTGAGGCCTGTTTCAGAGGCCTGTGCCCTTTAACTCCTTCACAGCTCGTTCTGCTGCCAAACTAATGCCACCCAGATATGCACAATATTAAATTCATATATGTATTTACTTTTTCTGTCATTTGTTTATTAATATATGTACTATTTATATTATAAAGAAAAAAAGAGTAACCAATAGACAGCTGTAAACTGACTCAGCTTTGTGGTTTGATGTCAGTTTGAGTTTTTGTTCCAGATTCTTGCTTTTCCTTTTCTTTTTTGCACCTGTTCGCAGTGTGTAAGATTTCCATATGCAGAAAGTATTCAACCCCCTTCACTTTTTATACTTATATTTCACTATTTTCTGTGTTATATTTTTCGGTTTGTTATTAAGTATTCTGAGTATGAGAAAAAATAAAAATAACTTATATTTTGGAATATCAGTTTGACTTTCCAATGCCAACTTTACATAGAGAATAATAGATTATACTTTCCATGGGTTTCAGATTAATGAAAAAAGACCAAGTTAATAATTGTATTGTGTTATCATTTGCACAAAAAGCTATAGAAAAGGGAGGTTAACTGAATGAACAGTATGGAAGTACATTTCTGTAAATATTTGTATAATTATAGAGTACTGTATGCATGTTCATTGATAATTTAAAGTGGACTCCTCATATTCTGCAAATAATAACCACATGACATAATATAAGGAAACTTATACTGTCACACAAAAGGATAGCAGAGGGGTATAAATATCTCTATAATCCGCCTTCTCCCTGGGAGTGGCTGTCTTGTGGTGTATGTGCTGCAACAGTTCATCGTGCAGCTTCACACCTCCAGTGACAGCGCTAACAAACTGGTACTGGCTGAAGGATGGAGATTCACACATTCAGTTTCACCTCCGTACATTTACAGGAAGATTCACAAGCACATAGTTGCTGTGTCATCAGGACAATTTGAAGAACTGCCCAAATTCACATACTGTACCTTCAAATATAAAATGTCAAGTCAATATGACACACAGCATCCTAATGGCCCTAACAAAACCCTTATGATGGCTTTATCAAGATATGGTCTCATAATAATGTCTTAAAATGTGTTGGTGCTAATAGTTTTTTTTCCTGCTTTATCCAAGACAGGATGCAGAGGCAGCAGTGAGAGCAGAGATGGGCAGATTCCCCTTTCCATACTCCCTACAGCTCATCTGGGGGAATCCTGGAAATGCCGGACCATCTGGAAGACATAGCCCTCTCCTGCATGTCCCGTCTACCTCGGACCCTCATTCCAGGACTCTACTCCGAGCCCCTCTAGTGTGACTGAGCATCTCACTATACCCCTGTGGATGCGTCCTGGCAAAAGAAACTACCGGTAAAATGTTGTTGTAATCACAATCAGTCATTATCTAAACTCATGACAATGGTTGAGAATGGGAATGGGTACATTTAGAGTGTTATCTTTTGTTGTTTCAGCTCCACATTGTCGACCTCTATCAGTGTTTGTGGCGCACACTTATTTTGGAGAATATTTTAATGCACTGTCCTGTACTCCCAAGGGATCCCAAGAATGCATTGTGTAGTCTGCTGTTTGGCATCTCAGCCACCAAAACAGTAAGACACATGCCCCTACCAGGGATCCACTCATTGGAGAGAACCACAACACCTAGAGAAGGGCGGCAATGAGCATGCCCACTCAGCACGCCATTATCCCCTCGGAAACGCCAGAGCCGTAGTGGGTCCAACCTGTCTAGAGGAGTTATGTTCCAGAGTCTGAGATGTGCATGAGCCGAGTGCATGAGCTGTGTGAGTGGACTGGGTCGTTATGCACCAGTTTGCAACCACCACCCAACCCTCTGTGTAGCCGACCGCCATAAATCCTTCTACAGATGCAAAGGGCACAGGTGTCATTTGGAAAAATGAAGAAAGGACCCAAAATGCAGGAGTACAAAAATAGTGATTAAATGAAGTCAAGGGAAAAGCAAACTCAAAAACCCATAATGAAACATCAGGAAAACGACAGACAAGGATGAACATACAAAGACAATGGACCAGAAACACATGAGGATGAGCACAGGTACATACAGTATAGACAGAGACACAGGTGAAACATACGAGGGTGGGCCAGCCAACCAAACAGGGGAAGTACAAAATAAGACAAAATCCACACCATGACAACAGGAGAGTGGACCCACGTCATCCTTTGGGGCAAAACCCAACCACCAGGCCCTCTCCTGTCCCAATCCCAGGTCTGGCTCCTTTGTAAAAATCTAATCTTGTGGTGCGCCATGTTACTCTGTATCCTATTATGTTATGGACTATAGTAACATCCCTTGGCTTAAGTCGAGTTATTGTGTTCCCAGGGCAGTGATAGCGTGACTAGGTCTCTTCTTTTTTGGGAGTTCTCACAGTCGCTCACCTCTTTGTAACCCTGCCACTTCATTTCAGTACAGTCAGAAAGATGTGTGGGTGAATATGGCAAATGGCACCGTAGGTAATCTCTCAAAGCGTCATCAATCTGTGATGCCCTCAATTCTGATTGATTGGGGGAGAAAAGAAAGAGATGCTAACCACATTATTCCATTCAAGGCAACAGTTGTTTTAACCATGGTAAGAAAAAAAAAGTTTGAAAACCTCCTACCAGTGAGCAACATTAAATACACAATACGATACTGGGACTAGAAAAGGCCGGCTTTGACCAGGGCAACTGTGCTTCTGAAGGTGAGAGAAAGTTAAAGGCTGTGGTGAGTGTAGTGTTTGTGGCCTGAAAGTCAGTCTTCAGACCGTGAGAAAGTGGCACAGTACAGAAGTGTCAAAGATGAAACCTCTGCCGTTTGCCACAAGGTGCTGATGGTTTAATAAATTTGTCCCAATAGAATGCGTCTTGTTTAAGTAACATTTAGGGAACTACTCAGACCACAACATACTGTCTTCAAACCTTTATTTTTAATCTTTTATATCCTGAGCTCACATTGGCTGAGTGAAAGCTGGTACCATTTTTTTGTCTGAAAAAGCGGATCTAAAGATGTGTGAATATGGGGGGGCAGAGCCTTCCACAGAAAAATAGTAGTAGTGATGGAACTGTTTGGGAGCTAGGAACAAGGATTTTATAGTTTATTTTTGTGTGATTTCCAAATGACGTCCTCCAGCTTTAAGATAACAAGAATGCTTCTCAAAACAAACCTTTACGACATTAAGGAGTTATACCTTTTTGTAAATGTCATGTGTTGTCTCAGGGTTCCGGGAAATCTGGATTCATAAAATAACTAAAACAACAAAGATATATAGCGGTAACCTCCGGAGCTATGTGACTTTCATGTTCTTGGAGAGATAGAGCAGTGCCACCATGATGTGTACGACAGAACCCCAGATCCTCACCCACTGCAGCACCCCCACTCTGCTCCTCAGCCCCTGGAGACAGCGACAAGCCCCCCGCCACATCAACCACACAGCTACAACTGCTGCAGGCGCTCAGCCAGTGCACTGCCTTCAAACACATGGAATTTAGATGTGTTTCTGCCAGATACAAAAAAGACAAACACAAACATATGTATAGACATTTATACTTTAAAGCTGGAGGACCTAACTTTGAAACCACGAAGAATAACATTGTATTTCATGTAACTTGTTCTTCACTACTATTCACATGCATGTATTTTTTAGCCTCTGTCACATCTTTAAATCAGGTTTTTCAGTGAAACGAGCCTTGAACCAGCCAATCAGCTCTCAGTATTGTTAAATATAAAATGTCCTTACAAGACAAAACATGCTGTGTTCTGATTTGTTCACAAAATGTTACTTAGACTCATTCTATTGTGACAACCAAAAATGTAGTTAAAAAAGTAGATTCCTATCTTATATATTTGTATGTACTTCTTATTTTCTCCGAGCATTTCAACAATATGAGAGTGATTTAATGGTGTCATGTGGTCGAACTGCAATAGTAAAATTTCCAGTAAAAGAAGATATACAGTAAATTATAAATATTTCCCAACAAATGTTCTCCACAAAATTGACCATTCACTAAACATAATGTGGTCGCTACTGCCCCAGTGCAAAAAGTGCATTTAGTTATAGAATAAATGATCTATAGTTAAGATCTTATGGTATGGTCAAAACGGCCCTTGTCATTGGTTCAGAGGCGTGAAAAGAGGAGGTCACAAAATGGTTAAATATCTCCTACAATGCAAAACACAGGACAGTGCAGCTCAGACGGTTCATTTACATTATCCACATTTTTCTATTCAATCATTTTCTTTATATATTTTGTCTTTTGGGGAAGGGATTTCATTTCTAACCGTTTTTTTGTGCTTATCTGCACGTGTCTCTAAAGGTTACCCTAAATCTTTTTTTGCAGGTGTGGGCTGCCTGTGAAGAAAACCTCAAGCCTAAAGCATTGTGACAGCACAAACACAGAGACAGGTGCAGGGGGAAACAAGCAGAGACCTGTGCTTCACAATGCCCCGATCATTCCTGGTCAAGAGTAAGAGGCCTCATGTGGTCAGTCTGTGGAGGAGAGCCTCAGAGGAGAAAAGCCCACCGCATCATGGGGATTCTTCACTTTGTCCTGCTGGTAAGACAGTCTTTTAATTCTTACACTTACACGACAATACAGTAATATCAGAGCTATTGCAAAGATTAAACTGAATAAAAATAGAGTAGAGTGAAATCCTAAATCAGTGCAGTCATAGAATCTTGGATTTAGATTAAATAACTCTATAGTAAAATGAAATAAAATCTCCAACTTTTGCATAATAAAGAAGCAAGTCTGAGATCTCCAACTTTAGAATAATAAAGAAGCAAGAATTAAGAACAAAATCTCTGACTTTAGCATAATAAAGAAGTAAATATAAGATACAGTATATTCTTGTCCTGGTGCCAAACTTTATAACCGGTGAAATGTAAATGCATAACCTTCTATGTCCCTAAATCAATATGTATATTGAGGGTTTACATCCCCAGACAGAAATGTAACTTTTTTGGCCAATTTTGAGAAACTTTTTTTCCACACATTGTTGGTGTGATGTTAAAAGCTTTTAGAATTATACTAGCATTGAGCCAATCTGTTGTGAGGTGTGCAGCCCAGGAATGTACAAGAAGAATGAGGATAAAGAACCTCATCCACAACTACCTCAAGACTCCGAGCTGTCATAAATATATGTTAAAGTAGAAAATAAACACACTATGGTGAACAGGGGGATGGAGACTTCTAATCAGGGTCATTTGCAATAATTATTCTAAAATAGAAAACAAATATAAATAGCAAAATAGGTCCTGGGTTTGATTACACCTCCAGACAGGGCCTTTCTGTGTGGAGTTTGCATGTTCTCCCCTCTAAAATATGCATGTATGTGTATCTGGCATGCACCTCCTGTATGGCGCTCATCTCTGTGTGGGGTGAGAGGACAAATGCACACAACAATTGTAAAGTGCTTTGTGACTCTGTCTATATAAATAAATATTACTTACTTACTCACTAATCTCCTAAATGTGGCCCAAAAAAGCCTTGGTGTGAAAACTTTCAAGTAGAAAGTAGTATGTAAACTTTCAATAGATAGACATGACAGTAAAATATTTGTAACACATTTATATATAAAATGATAATGCAACTATCATTTCTCTCACTTTTTTAATCCTGTTTAGTGCCTTCACCTTCACTGTTCGTCATGAGCACCGAGGCCACTGTGGAGAACGCAGAGCAGAGAGTGTGTGTGGACAGGAGCTCAGAGAGGGAGAAGCAGCTGGAGCGCCTGGTCTTTCTGCTCCTGAGTCGCACCGCTCACACCCAAGCCCAGGTCCCAGCCGCCAACTGCCCGCTCTGTGAAAAGGTACACACTGGACAAGAAAATATCATTATTATTTATGATGAAAGATTTGTGATGACGACCACTGTATTCCTGACTCTGACTCTGAGGACTGAGGAGCACAGGGACCGGCCCCCTGTTAGTGCCCAGAGTCATAACTAAACATGGGGAGGCTGCATTTCAGATTGATGCTCCTAAAATCTGGATTACTCTTCATGATAATGTGAGACAGGCCTCTTCTCTGACAATGTTCAAATCCATGTTGAAAAAGTTCTGTTCAGTTCAGTTCATTTATTTATTTCAGACGTTTCTGACAATGCCAAAAAAAATCAAATTAGGATGTGGAAAAGGCACAGGCAGAAGCTAAAGCCTATAGATGCCCCCCTTTAGTTTACATGTTAAACTTAAACAGCTGCTACACACAACATTTACTCCATTTACTCCTTAATAATGATTATCTGCTAGAATTCACAATCAATATATGCTTGAATAATGTTCTTCTTTAGCAAAGTCTTGGAGTGTTGTACCGTTCTGCAAATCTACAGCCAACTCAATCCAGACGTTTTCTCCAACCACAGAAACACAATCCATTTTACTCGCCCTCTCAGGAGATACACACTTTTCCTTCTCTAAAACAGGTTCTGATGCAGTGTTTAGCTGAGAGTTTTTAATTCACTCTTTTTAATGTACTGTGATTTTTTTATGATTTGATCTAATGTCTTGAATTGTATTTTACTCATTCTTGTTTTATTTTTATCTTGCCTTTGGTAACCAATTCAATTCAATTTATTCTTGTATAGCCCTAAATCACAACAGTAGTTATCTCGTAGGACTTAAAAAATAAAAACGTTGAATTTGCCAACACAGATCAGAGAATCAAACAGTTGAAACTCAAGAAATGCCATGATTAAAAAAATAAAACACATGCCATTGGTCCTTAAGGGGCAGATGACCAATGTCCATAAACGTTGATGAATGTCCATGTTGTGTATGAACTGTGCTACACAAATAAGCTTGCCTTGCCTTAATCTGCCTAATGTTGGTGTTCTTCATCATCTGCCAGTCTATTTCAGACATGCTGATGTCAGCCGGGGGTCTCCAGGATCACTTCAACAGTGTGAGTGCTGCTAGGTCTCTGTCCCCCACAGACCCCTTCTCCTACAGCGTGTTAGAGAGATACAGCAAAGCAAAGGTACAGCGCTAAGAGTTTGATGGATGCTTTAGTCCCACAGTGGAGAAACTACAGTTCAATGAATAAATATCAAGACATACAGCAGAATTATTTAATCCACGCTCCTTTATGACAGTTATTCTAAACAGCAGAGAGCAAAAATACATTTCACACAGTTTGGAGAGACACATGACACATGGCGACGTGTGGATAGCACTCTCGCTTCTCAGCAAGAACTGAGTTTGAATCCCGACCAGAGGACCTTTCTGAGTGGAGTTTGCATGTTCTCCCCGTGTCTACGTAGGTGTCCTCCAGGTGCTCCGATTTCCCCCTACTACTAACATCATGTACAATAGGTCTGAATGTAATGTGTGAGTGAATGGATGGTGTTTGTTGGGGTCCAGTGATGGCGTTTCGCTCCCGTCATCACCGTGTGGAGAGAATGGAACAATATCTGAACTCTGAAAATTGTAAAGCGCTTGGTCTGTAAAATGTGCTATATAAATAAAGATCACTTACTTACATGAGATAGTTCAATCAGATAAGTTCCTGTCCCCTTTCCTTATGACCGTCACTTTACTGCCACTTGACTATCACTTTACTGCACTGCTAAACGTCTTATGTGTGTACTAATGCACCCTATAAATAGTAGCAATTTTAAGAAATGTGTATATATATAATTTTTTATTCCATATTCTATTTTTAATATTTTTCTTGTTTGCACCGAGAACCAAAGCAATTTCCTAGTTTGTGACTTCTTGTTACTCACAATGGCAATAAAAATAATTTTGATTCTGATTCATTATTGGAACCGTGGAGTTTTTCTCTGCCCAGTGTGACTCTTGTTCCCCTGTGTGTGTCTAGGAGCGTAACTTTGGCTGTAAAGTGTGTGGGAAAGTGTTCAAGCGCTCGTCCACTCTGTCCACACACCTGCTGATCCACTCGGACACGCGGCCGTACCCCTGTCAGTACTGCGGCAAGAGGTTCCACCAGAAGTCAGACATGAAGAAACACACCTTCATCCACACAGGTGCTCTTCTAATCCCACTCTACACACACTGCAAACACACACGACACACGACAAACACAACACACCCACTACACACAAACTACAAACACACTACAAGCAGAGTGTCCTGAAAAGCGCTATATAAAACCAATGCATTATCATTATTATTATTAATAAACTACACACGCACGCACACACACACACACACACACACACACACACACACACAAACACCTACTACACACTATATACACCTAATAGACATTATAGACGCATATTTAAAACACTACATAATACACACCCACTACACACAAACACACAATAAGCACTACGCACACACACACACACTACACACACTACACACAGCCTGGTGTCTGACCCATGTCCTCCACAGGTGAGAAACCACATGTGTGTAAAGTGTGCGGTAAAGGATTCAGCCAGAGTTCTAACCTCATCACCCACAGCCGCAAGCACAGCACCTACAGGCCCTTCCACTGCCCCCAATGCGAGCTCAGCTTCCAGCGCAGAGTGGACCTACAGCGCCACCAGGAGATGCCCTGTGTGTACAACACATACACAGGCCAAACTAGGACAGTTGCTTCACTCAAAAGTATGAAGTAGTAATGTTTTTGAAATCGCACATTGTCTAATGTTTGTCCTTTTTATAAATGGTGCTTCCATCTGTTTTTGTAACTGCACATTTCCCTGGAAATAAAGGCACTTATAATATGGCAAATAATATGGCAAATACTGTATTTATCTCTCATCTTCTCACAAGACTGTGTCTCCACAGAAAACGGAATACTGTATTCAGGACAATACACACCAGAAACCAGCCGTTTAAAGTAAAAGGATGTGTTATTTCCTTTTTTAAGCCATTTATTTTAAAGGGCCCTTATTAAGATTTTCCACTTTTCTCTGGTAAACATGATTACAGTGCTATTTGGCCTTCATACACAAGCCCTAGGTAGATTTTTCATTGATTCCGTCAATCTTAAATTAGAGAGCGATCTTTCTCTTTCATTCTCGAGAGGCACAGAAACGAGCTGATTCAAATTGTGATGTGGCACAATCCGTGACGTCAAAAGCGTCACTGATTGACAGCGAGGAAAAACTGAACCAGCGAATCAGTGCCATCTATGCAGCCCATGCAGCCTCTCGCTGAGTCCAGCGGGTGGTCCATAGACAGTAAATAAGCGTCCGTGCTAGTTTGTGTTAGCTTCCCGTGACTTGTAGAAACTGTGTTGTTGGTGTAAATATGTGACGATAGTATTTGTCCCAAAGACGGAGAATGAGGCGACTGGAGATTGACATTGTTCACGGGGATATCTGCCTCATAATTTATTCTATTTTGTTCTAGCTGGAAATAGTGTATAAAATAAGGCTTGCTGAAAGTGAAAATGAAAGTTCACATTAGCCACAATGTTGTACATATACTGTAGAATACTTTTGAGTATTAAAAATATAGGAGGATTTTCTACTTCCGGGTGGATCATCAAGACTTGTTCCGGACCTTGAGTCCGTAATTAACCCGGATCTATAGCCCGTCCGTCCGTGGGAGCGGATCCCTTTCTGAGGTTTCTCACTTTTTCCCACTGAGTTTTTCCTTGCCGATGCAGGAGGGTCCGTTGGGCAGTTAGTGTCCAACTAGAAGGACTGTGGTGATGATCTAGGACACTGTAACATTCTACAACATGTATGACATTTATCAACATGTGTTCTATATTCTTTTTGTGTCTTAACTGTTGATTCTCTGATCTATGTTGGTGATTCAATGGTTTTGTTAAGTCCTGAGATGACTTCTGTTGTGATTTAGGGCTATACAAGAATAAATTGTATTGTATTGTATTGTATAAAAGATGATATAATTGCAATCACACCTGTTTCTTTCCTTTATGTAATTGTAAATTGTAAGTCATTGTAAATTTGTGGTTGACGAATCAAAGTTTGAATAAACTAAAATAAACCTAAACCTATGAATAGTTTACACACAAAAGTCACAAGTTTAAAATGAGTCTCATGTCACTAAACCTCTGCTCTGAGAAGGAACCTCCTTTCACCAATACACCTTTTTGGACTGACTGTATACTGTAATGTACTTTCTCTTTTATATTCATATTTCAAAATATGGACCAATTGAATTTGAGACTGAAATTAAGATTCGTAAAAGGACACCAAAGCAGACATTGCAGGTTAGGAAAAAGGGAAAACATTTATTGAGCGCTTGACTTAGCAAGAAGGTGGTCTGGGAAAAAAGACAATTTGAATGAATAACAAGGCAAAACATGTTAACACAAGCTGAAGTTTGAAGTTTCACTAGATTCAAGCTAAAGATAGGTCTGTACCACTGTAGATGTCATGGTGTGGATTTTGTATTATTTTGTTTTTAGTTTTACTTCCCGACTTGTTCCACAGTTGATTGCCTGCCCTAATGTGTTTCACCCATGGATCTATGGGTTTCACCCAGTGGGGGCGGGTCTCAGCTCAAAAGTGGCCAAAATGATGTGCGCTCAGTGTTGCCAACTCCTCAGTAAGGACAGTAGCTATTGGCTGTCCCAAAAGTCGCTAGAAGTCGCTAAATGACGTCATCGCCTAATTTGCATAATTGGCAATTTGCAAATAACTGTAACGGACGCTGTAGGAGAGAGGAATAACGTCGTGGGAGAGACAAAAGTGAGTAAAAAACACCCTAAATATGTTTAGAACTACAAATGTACAAAAATAATTTCAACATTAACAACATTTAATGATTTTAATGCTTTGTCTAGATCTGTCGCTAGTCGCTTTTTTGAAAAAAAGTCGCTATAGGGTCTGAAAAGTCGCTAAATCTAGCGACAAAGTCGCTAAGTTGGCAACACTGTGTGCGCTGACCATAGACTGTATATTTTAACGGACAGAGTCACGCCTATCTCCGCCGTTCTAACTGATGGGCCAAAAAATGTGCTCTACTGGAGGAGGAGCACCCCCAAATCGTGTGTCCTGAGAGCAAGCGGGAGGAGGTCTGGAGAAAGACCCACGAGGCCGGAGCACACTTCGGACCCGAAAAGACCCTGGCCCGGATCCGGCAGCAGTTCTTTTGGCCAGGTATGGAGGGGGAGGTGCGCTGGTTTCATCAGTCCTGCCTTTTATGTAGCATACAGAAGAGTCGTATCGAGCCGAGAGCTGCGCTTCATCCAGTCTCTGTGAAATTCCCTCTAGAAATAATAGGGCTTGATTTCCTCTCATTGGGTCGCCCTGGTGACGCGTGGCAAAATATTCTGGTTGCCACAGATTTATTTACTCGTTTTGCGTGGGCTATACCCACACGGGATCAGACGGCCCAAACAACAGTCAGGATGCTCTGGAAGTACATCATACAACAGTTCGGTTGCCCTGCACGGTTTCACTCCGACCGGGGCCCGAACTTTGAGTCTGCCTTAATGCAGCAGTTGTGCGAGATGTACGGCATTTCAAAAAGCCGCACCACCGCTTACCATCCTGCAGGTAATGGGAGCGTGGAGCGCTTTAACCAGACATTATTGAACATGCTTCGGACCCTAGAGGAGGAGAAGCAGAACCGTTGGCCAGAGTATCTACCTGAGCTAGTACACGCATATAACAACACAGTACACAGTGCCACAGGTTATGCCCCATCCTACCTTATGTTTGGTCGACACTTGCGACTCCCGGTTGATGTGGGGTTGGGTGTGAATCCCCACCAGGGCCAGTTTGACCTTCCTGGGTGGGTAAGGGATCATCAAAATAAACTTTCTTTTGCTTACAATCTTGCCCAACAAAGAGCAGCCAATGCAGCCTCCCAACACAAGCAGCAGTTCGACAAGAGAGCCAATCCCCCACCTTCTGGTACCTGGGGAACGCGTTTGGGTTCGCAATAGACACAGGCAAGGCAAAGGTAAACTGAGCACGTGGTGGGATCCCGAGCCCTTTGTGATAATGGACACTGTAGGAGACACAGGGGTGGTATACAGGGTTCGGCCAGAAAAAGGTGGCAGAGAACAAACTATCCACCGGAAAGCTCTCAAAGTGTGTACAGTGCCCCTGCCTGACATTCAGCCCCAACCCAGAGAGCCAGCCCAGAGACACTTGTCCCTGAACTGCCTGTAATTTATGACTTTTTTCCAATGCCTGTTGGGCCCCAAGGACAAGAGGGACAACAAGACTTACCCAGGCGTTCCAACCGTGCAACCTTTGGACAGAAGCCTGCCCGCTATCAAGAGTAGGTGGACGTTGCAGGGACTGACAACGTGAAGGGTGGGGGGGGGTGTAAGCAGGCACGTTTTATATTTTTAGTGTGGACTTTTATTGTGTGGTTTTATTTGTTGCATGGACTGTTTTATTGCATGGTTTTATTTGGTTTTATGAGTGTTATTTACTTCACGTTATGCCTTGCTGCCCCGAACCACATGAGCCCCAGCCAATGCCTGCACTCACAGCTTAATCAGCGCACCTGCAACTGAGTGAGCATGGTCACATAAGGGCGGACTGGGAGCAGAAAGAGAGGACACAGTGAGACGGAGAGCAGGACACGGGACAGCACAGCACCGGAACCACGACCCGGACCACAGTGATCGGCATCGCCTCACGAGTCCCCAGGGAACACCACGAAGCTGAACTACCGCAGGAGGCAGAGGACGCTCTGCCTTCGCGTGTAAGTACCTCAACACATTGAGTAGTGGTGTTCATGTAGTAGCCTTTGGCGGGGGGATTCTGTGGGGTGTATTGGCGTTCTCTGTGTGGTTGTGCTCTGCCTCCAGGGTCCGTGGCACCGCAAGAGACGCATTGTCCCGGGTTGAGCACCGCGAGGCGTAATCCAGACGGCGGCCGAGTGTAAAACCTCAGCCTCGCTGGTAAGTGTGTGAAAGCAGCGGTGCTCGTGTTTTAGTGGACGAAATGTCGGTGTAGCTTTGCTGTTGGCCTCCACTCCGCTGCCGCTGTGCTTTTGTGCCTGCAGGACCCGAGACGCCGAAGGGACCTGGGCTGAACGAACACGTGTCGGGACTAATTTTAATCCGCTCTTTTTTAAATCGGACATTTTTAACATTTATTGTTTGTAAATAAATTATTTTGTAAACGCATCAGTAGTTTCATTTACTGCAATTACGTGCTCCCCCCAGCTCTCACACATACATAGTGTGCACGATGAATGGTGTAAAGATCTTGTGGTGTGATATGTTTTTCTTATTGCATCACAAACACAGTTATGCTTCATTGTCAACTACACAGTTTAGGCATGTATTCACAAAAGTTACATTTTACCAACGTTTTAACAAGGCTAAAAACACATCCATTTAGCTGCGCATACAATTTATTCTATTTTGTTCTAGCTGGAAAGAGTGTATAAAATATGGCTTGCTGAAAGTGAAAATGAAAGTTCACATTAGCCACAATGTTGTACATATACAGTAGAATACTTTCAAGTATTAAAAATATAGGAGGATTTTCTACTTCCGGGTGGATCATCAAGACTTGTATGGACCTTGAGTCCGGAATGAAGATTATTATTATTATTATTATTACTATTGGTGCTCCCAATTGTCAATCATTCTAGTGATAAGTGCTAGAATGCTTTATATATAGCGCCACCAGCTGGTGGCTATATATAAAGGGCTATATATAAAGGG